AGCCAGAATTCCAAATGAGCAAGGAAACTACAAACAATATCCCAGTATGGGTAAACTTCCCTGAGTTGCCTATACAATACTGGATGGTGGAGAATCTGGGAAGAATTGCAAGCTCGATAGGGAATCCAATTTGTACAGACAAATTAACAGCTCAAGAAGCAAGGATATCATATGCACGCATGTTGATCGAAATGGATGTGTCTCAACCATTGCCTGAAACAGTGTTGATAGAAACTGCTGGCAAAAAATTGAGTTATGACTGGCAACCATCTTTTTGTCAAGACTACCTTCAAATTGGACATGGTACAGGGTAATGTAGTGCTCCAGCATAATTAATAAAGCAACCTGGCCCTGCTCCTAAAGGTCAGGCAGGAAATAGGAAGCAAGGTGAACAACATAGAAGGGGAAGGAAACAAGTCACTAAGTGGATTGCTAAGCCAAAGGCAGACATGGTAACTCCGGAACAAGAAGTAAGGGCTGAACCAAGTAATGAAAATGCAACTACATCAGTAGTGATAAGGCAAGAAGTAGTTTCTAGTGAAATTATACAGAATGAAAATGCTGAATTCCAGGTAGCCAAATCTAAAGGGAAACAGGTGCAAAGCCCTAAGGTGAAAATATCAATAAGGAATGGTCTGTCTAAGGAGAATATTGAAGCTATGCTACATCAAAATAGATTCAGTGCACTAAGAATTCAGGAAAGAGAGGATGCTAGTCAGGCATCTAAGGAAGGAAGAGTACCCCTTGCCCACCCTCCATGATTATTAGCTCATGTAATATTAGAGGGCTTAATAAGCCCTATAAGCAGAAAGAACTCAAGGCCTTTTTGATTCAAAATAAAATAACAGTGCTAGGGTGCCTTGAGACAAAAGTGAAAATATGAATGAAAAAAGAGTTAGAAGGAAAATAGGAAATGAATGGGAAGTATTTGCAAATTATACACATGCTCCTAATGGAAGAATATGGATAATGTGGAAGACTGAACAAGTAGACATTAAAATAATACATGCTGGAGCCCAACTGGTACACTGTGAAGTTAGGGACAAATCTCAAATTTTAACTGTTGGTTAACTTTTGTGTATGGGTATAATACAATAGCAGAGAGACAGGAAATATGGAGTCAGCTAAGACAGATTAACAATACTATGGTGGAGGCTTGGCTTGTGCTAGGAGATTTTAATACTATGCTNAAAATCTCAAATTTTAACTGTTGGTTAACTTTTGTGTATGGGTATAATACAATAGCAGAGAGACAGGAAATATGGAGTCAGCTAAGACAGATTAACAATACTATGGTGGAGGCTTGGCTTGTGCTAGGAGATTTTAATACTATGCTCTCTGTCACTGATAGAATTAATGGAAACCCTGTCAGCCAGAATGAGGTGGAAGACTTCCAAGCTTGTGTTGAGGACACTAGACTGTGATTGTTGAATAGAAAAGGCTGCCAATGGTCATGGTGCAATAAAAGGGAAGCTGCTGATAGAATTTACAGCAACATTGATTGGGCCTTGGGGAATCCTTACTGGTTCATGAAGTATAGCAACATAGAGGCAGTGTTTGATAATTATGGGGTTTCTGATCACTCACCCATAATAGTATGCACTGAGGTCACTAGAAACTATTTGCCTAAGCCATTTAGGCTGCTTACTGTGCTTCTACAGGAGGATGAATTCAGAAAGATGGTTCAAGGGGTGTGGACTCAAAACATAACTGGATATACTATGTATTCAGTCTGGCAGAAATTGCAGGTCCTAGGAAGCAAAGCAAAAGTGATGAACATAGCTTATAACTCAGTGAAAAAGAGGATTGAAAACCTCAAGGAGCAACTGCAGAAGGTGAAAAAGGAAATTGATGATGATGTATTCAATAATACACTTATTCTAGAGGAGAAAGAGTTATTAATACAAGTAGAGAAATGGGAAGGTATCCAAGAGAAGGTATATAGGCAGAAATCAAGGGCAGTGTGGATATCAGCAGGGGATTCTAACACAAAGTTTTTCTATGCTCAGCTGAAAGCAAGACATGCTAGAAACAGAGTGTCTACCATTTGTAATGATCTTGGGCAAAAACTGACTGATCCCATATTGGTAGAACAAGAGTTCATATCATTCTTCAAAGGCTTGCTAGGAACAAGAGCTTCTGAATTACCGTGTCTTGATATTACAATAGCTAGGAATGGACCTTGTTTGAATAGAGAACAACAACATCATCTTGTCAAGAGTATAACTGAGATGGAGATTGAGCAGGGGCTTAAAAATATGCCAAGTGATAAAGCACTGGCATTGATGGTTTTCCAGTTGAGTTCTTCAAGAAATATTGGAATATTGTTAGACAAGAAACTATGAAGGCAGTCAAGGAATTCTTTGAGACAGGAAAACTATTAAAGAATGTCAATAATACTACTATTACATTGGTGCCAAAGGTGACTAGTCCCTCTTTTGTAAAAGAATTTCGACCAATAGCATGTTGTACCACCATATACAAGCTCATTGCACTAATTCTTACAACAAGGTTAAAAACAGTGGTGGATATCATAGTAGGACCAGCTCAGTAAGCCTTTATAGAAGGGAGAAGCATACTGGACAATGTAATTATTGCTCATGAGTTGGTTAAGGGGTATAACAAAAAAGGAATCTCGCCTAGGTGCATTATAAAAGTTGACATAAGAAAGGCGTATGATTCAGTTGAATGGCCTTTCTTACGTATGGTCTTGCTGGAATATGGGATACCTAATAAAATGGTGCAGTGGATAATGGAATGTGTGACTACTGTGAGCTATTCTATACTGATTAATGGCAAGCTCACTAATAGATTTCAAGCAAGAAAGGGGCTGAGACAAGGGGATCCAATGTCCCCCTACCTGTTTGTGCTAGTGATGGAATATCTGAGTAGAACATTGAAGACTCTTAAAGACATCCCTGACTTCAATTTCCATCCAAGATGTGTAAAGTTGAACCTTACTCATATCTGTTTTGCAGATGATCTGATAATGTGTTGCAGAGCTGACAAGATTTCTATTCAACTAATGCTGGATAAGTTCAACCATTTCTCGAAGGTGACTGGGCTCATAGAAAACTTAGACAAGAGTTCTATCTATGTAGCTGGAGTGTCTCAGGGATTTAAAGATATGATTAGTGCAGATTATCAGTTCAAGATTGAAGCCCTACCATTCAAATACTTGGGAGTGCCTTTATCATCAAGAAAGTTAACAATTCAGCAATGTATGCCATTAGTGGAGAAGATAACCAACAAAATAAAGTATTGGACATCAAAGTTTCTATCTTACAGTGGAAGACTACAACTGATAAAGAGTGTCCTATTTGAAATACAAACATATTGGGGGTAGGTGTTTCTGTTTCCAAAAAGGATCATACAACTAGTGAATACTATGTGCAGAACATTTCTATGGACTGGCAGTCAAAACCCTTCAAAGAGAGCATTGATTTCATGGGATAAAATATGTATGCCTACTTCAACTGGTGGACTAAATGTCATTAATTTCTTATGGTGGAACAAATCAGCAATTTGTAAACTAATGTGGGCTATACATACAAAAAAGGATGATCTTTGGATTAAATGAATTCATGCAGTTTATATAAAAAAGCAAGACTTCAATACAATGAGCACTCCTAGTCAAGCTTGCTGGCTGGTAAGAAAAGTATTTGACATAAGAGATTGGTACCTGAGTATAGACTCTTTTGCCAACATTAACAACTATTGTAGGAAGGGGCAGTTCAATATTCAGAAGGCTTACACTTTAGCGAGGCCTCAATTTCAAAAGGTTCACTGGAAGGCCTTAATACTGGGTTCAACTATACCTAGACATAACTTCATCTTATGGCTAGCACTTCACCATAGAATCACCACTGTGGATAGGCTGGAAGCTTGGGGGATACAAGTAGCAAGTGGATGTGTATTGTGCAGTAGTGAAAAAATAGAAACAATGGCCCATCTCTTTTTTGAATGTCAATACTCAAGGAATATCTGGAGTACACTACTCAACTGGTTGGGAGAGAGACATCAAATTGGACTTTGGGAAGAGGAAGTCGTATGGTTGACAAAAAGAGCAAAGAATGGTAGACCTCGTAACAGCATATTGGAATTTCTGTTTGCAGCAGTGGTATACCATACATGGACAGAAAGAAACATGCGCAGATTTCAAGGGAGAAAGACTGAAACCAAGAGTAGAATTCGTGACATTGTCCTCCAACTTCATATCAAAGGGCAACAAAAGACTAAATAGAAGAAGATTTTAGAAGGAGTGAATAGTTTTCCTCTATGAATAATTGATATTATAAGTAGTAGAGGAACTATGGAGATGTAAATAATAGTGTTTTCTGGTATTTTACTATTTTTTTTAGTCTAACTCTTTAGTCCAAAGGAGTTAGAGATGTTGTAATTATTTTTACTGGTTGAATAAAAGTTTTGATATTTGACCAAAAAAAAAGGTGGCATTATTAAGACAAAACAAACTACTTTTTAAACTAAAAAACCTTTTTAAATTTTGAATTGATTGGTTACTCTATTTGAATTAATAAATATAGATATCTTATAATTAGTTATATTAAAAAAATAAAAAAATATATATAATAAAAGGAGAGGCAAAAGCACAATATTAAGACAAGTGGCATAACCACAAAAAGCCAAGTGGCATTATTAAGACAAAATAAACTAATTTTTTAACTAAAAAACTTTTTAAAATTTTTAATTGATTGGTTACTCAATTTGAATTAATAAATATATATATCTTATAATTAGCTATATTAAAAAATGAAAATATATGAAAAAGAAATAACTACTCATTTAAATTGGGGAGTATTTTCAAGTTGGAGCTTTAAAGTTATTTTAAAATTAAAAAGCAAAAAATAAGAAAATATTAAATTAGCTTCAATAAAAAAACGAAAATATTAATAGTAAAAAAAACTACCTATTCAATTTTGGGAATAAATTCAAGTTGGAGTTCTAAAATTATTTTAAAATAAAAAACGAAAATAAAGATAAAAGATAAACAAACTGTTGATGTTTTCAAATTATTTTAAATAAAAAACGAAATTAAAAAAGATAAAAAAAACTGTTATTTCAAATTTGGGAGTAGTTTCAAGTTGGAGTTTTAAGACAAAATAAACTACCCTTCTAACTAAAAAAATCTTACGAATTTTAAATTTTAAATTAATTGGTTACTCTATTTGAATTAATAAATATAAATATCTTATAATTAGCTATAAAAAAAATGAAAAAATATTATCCATTCAAATTGGGGAGTAGTTTCAAGTTGGAGTTTTAAAAATATATTAAAATAAAAATACAAAAGAAAAAATAAAATAGCTACAATAAAAAATGGAAATATATAAATATAAGAAATACACATTCAAATTGGGGAGTAGTTTCAAGTTGGTTATTTAAAATACAAAAACGAAAATAAAGAAATAAAATAAATTTCAATTCAAATGAAAAATACAAAAAGTCAAGTGGCATTGTTATAACAAAATATTTTTCAAGTAGCATTCAAACTGGGGAGTAGTTTCAAGTTGGAGTTTTAAAATTAAAAAACAAAAAATACGAAAAACTATAATTAGCTACGGTAAAAAAAATGAAAATATTAAAAAGAAAAACTAAAAAGAAACTACCTATTCAAGTTGGGGAGTAGTTTTAGTTATTTTCTTTCTAACTAAAATACCTTTGAATTTTAAATTTTGAATTAATTGGTTACTCTATTTAAATTATAAATAAAGATATCTTATAATTAGCTATAATAAGAAAAGGAAAAGAAAATACCCATTCAAATTGGGGAGTAGTTTCAAGTTGGAGTTTTACAAATATTTTAAAATAAAAAAAATAGCTATAATAAAAAAAGAAAATATATACAATAAAAAAAAAACAAACTACCCATATAAATTGGGGAGTAGTTTCAAGTTGGAGTTTTACAAATATTTAATATATATATATATATATATATA